AGATGAGGAGGAGGACAGTGAAGAAGAAGAGGAGGAGAGTGTAGATGAAGAGGAGGACAGTGAAGAAGAAGAGGAGGAGAGTGTAGATGAAGAGGGGGAGAGTGAAGAAGAAGAGGAGGACAGTGAAGAAGAAGAGGAGAGTATGGACGACAGTCAGGAGGAGGAAGAGGAGGGCAGTGAAGACAAAGAAGATGGGAAACGTAAGAAGAGAGGGCTCCATCGCAAAATACCCATTTGGAAATTAAAACTGAGACGTAGATTGAGACGCCGGTCCCGCTTCTTGTACGGAGTCCTCCAGCTGTCTAACACCTACTTCTGTAAAACGGATTTTCGCTGGTCAGCAAATAAGTGCAACACATCCTGCAAAGGTGAGTACTTGCATCAGAGACAAACAGAAACGGTTGCTAAGTATTTAATTTTGCATATTGCTGATTAACAGTTTCTTTCTTTTTCCCTGTAGCCTTCATTGATGACGACATATCAGACGACGTCGCTTGCTTTGTAAAGACTCGGAACAAAAAATACTGGCGGTAAGTTCCTGTATACACAAGTCAAATGATCAAAAGGTTAAATGAATACTGTAGGATTGTATAACAAGTTAGTTTACTGGTTTGTTCACATGATACACTTGTATGTATTGGATAACCAAACAACAACCATCCCCTGTCAGCTCTGATCTAGTCAAATAAATGTGACTTAGTTATAGAAAAAATGCCACTACGATGCACTGTGCTGAACCTAAATATAGTTCAACAGCAAAAGAAATGACGAAATGTCTGAATCCATACCTCCATTCCTCTGTTAACCGGTCATTGGTGCTGTTTTCTTGAGGTCATATAAATAGTGGGCCAACAGCATGTGCTTCTTGTCAAACAACAGCTACTTTTTTTGAGAGACTGTTTTTTTCCCCCCATCAACCAGGGCTGTGGTGAGGAGAGCCCTCAGATCTAAAGCTGCCAGGGGCTTCCTCAAGGACTGTGAGTGAGCAGCAGCTGTAAGCGCTCCAAGCAGGATCTCACGCCATCACACCAGTTCTGCATCTGACGGGAGCTGTTGTCTTACCTCCCGAACATCGTGACACATTGTCTTCCTTTTCATTTTAATCAATCGATGAGATTTCATAACTGATGTCATTTTATTTCAGTTCCGTTGTGGGTGGACCTCCCTCCCTAAATTACCAGAACTTGAAAGTAAACTGATGTGACCTCTGAATGGTTATGGTGATTCTATTCAATCAGAGACTCCACTGACGAGGATAAACAGAATGATTCCTACACCTTCTGCTTTCTGTCATCTCTTAATAAATGTGTTTTGCTGAACAGTCTGTTTGTGAGCCTGGTTTTTTTTTTTCTCTTTATTTCTTAGTAATGCTGACTGATGAGTTCTGTTATCATTTTAACCATCACAGACACTCTGACAGGTCACAAGACTTGCAATATACCCATACTATCTGTTACAGAAATAAAACCAGTTGGTCTGTAACTGGGACTTCAAGGTTGATAAGTGGTTAGCACCATTACCTCACAGCAAGAAGGTCGTCGGTTCGCGTCCCGGTGAGGACACCCGGGATCTTTCTGCGTGGAGTCTCCATGTTCTCCCCGTGCAGCGTGGGTTCTCTCCGGGTTCTTCGGCTTCCTCCCACAGTCCTGCCTTCGCCCTGAGTCAGCTGGGATGGACTCCAGCCCCCCACGACCCTAGTGAGGATTAAGCGGTGTGTAGATGATGGATGGATACGTTTAGCTCAAACAGGAACCGCAGGATGAACGTCTGCTGTGCTGTCCATCTACTTCAACGTCGTGCAATATGTTGTTTACCTACAATATGCACTAGTGCCACTTGATAGTGTGTCATGTGTACAGAAGTAGGAGTTTGACTGTCACATGTCTATGTATGTAAAACATACAGTAAATACAGCAATACTACCCCAAGGAGGTTTTCACCAGGGAAGGGACGATAAAATACATGATTTCATATGTTACTATTCACTGTCTACCTGACTGAAAAATCAGCTCGTCCCCCAAGACGATAACTTTAGTTGCAGCCAAACAGTCTTCCCATGACGGCGTAGTTCTACGCATTTCAGGCTTTCTACAACAGTTAAACACAACCGTACAACAAAGGAGCTCAACATGCATAACTGAGAGCCGTTTAGATCCACAGTCCTTCGACAAAACTGCATCAGATCGCAGATTTGTGATAGTTACCGGGAGTTTATTGTAATTCACAAATGAGACTGAGCCCGGCTCATTCATGCCTTTCTCTCCTCTGTTCTGCTGCTTCTCACTTCATCCCATCCATTCAGCCACTGCGTACATTCCCACCTGCTGCTGCGTCTCGTCTGATTCAGAAGCAGTTTCCCCGTTACTCATCTCGCTGACACCCACAGGGTTCAGGGCTGCTGCCCAGGGATTCTTCTCGCTCTGCCAGCTTCTGCTCCAGCCTCAGTCGCACACTGAGTTTCAGTCTTTTCTGTTTGTGTCATCCCACATTCATGTGTTTAAAATCTCTTCTAGGTCTCAGTCGACCCAAATCTGTTGAACGTGAGGCTCTGAAACTGGGTGGTTATCCAGCCTCAGTTGAAATGAATGGAAAACGAGTGACAAAAGGGCAAACCGGGATCAAAACAAAAGTGTGAAGAATCATATCGATCTCATCTTGAGATACAATAGAAGTTTAACAGCATTCAAATGGATGACTGCACCTCCTGGGGGAAAAGTCTGAATAGCTGAAGAAAGGGATCCCATCACATGAGGGACACGGGCTGCATTTGTAGTGCATGTATTTTAACATATAGTAGTTCACAGAATAACTCAATTTAATGTTTTGTTTTAGTTCGATGGAGCACAAGCATAAGTGTGGATCTAATTTTAAATAGAACATTATTGGAAAACCTTTAATGGATGTGTTCTGTTACTCATCTTACTCATGGGATTATTGTTCTTTCTGTTAGTAGGTTTAACGTTATAGAAGTGTTCAGGAAAGCTGTGACCTTATGTTTAGTACGTTCTGTATTCACTGCTGTCACACCTGCCCTGCAAAATTAGAACATACTGTTACAGAAGCGCTGTTTTGCCTTATCCGGTTCTGACCTTTAATGGCTCGGTCTTTTCAGCTGGATGAAAGCGTCAGCTTTATGTTTTCAGGTTGATGTATCCTTTTTCTCCCTGGATTCCTTACAGCTCAGAAACCTGAAGCCAAGCATGAGATGTAGCATGAGAACACAGGGAGTGGCCTTTATCAAAACAAAAGAGAACAAAAGATGGACGTTCTGTCTGGTTCACCCCCGCTGGCTGTACAGTATATACCATGTTACGTGTGTGTTCCAAGTCAGACATGATAGCTGGAGTGGAGATGAGGGTGCTGGTGGCGTTTCTCGTGGCGGTGCTGGGCTGCAGTCTGGCTGGAGCTCAAATCGTGTCCAAATGTCAAGTGAGGAACCAGCTGATGCAAACACTGGCCAACCTGCCGGAGAAGGCGAAGCAGTCCGGAGTGACTGAGAAGATCGTGGCCAAGAGTAAGTACTGGTTGTTCCTTTACATTAGAATCCTACTATTTATGGTTTTGAAAATAAAAATAAAAAAAAAAAAAAAATCACAAGTCAGAAATGGAGGATTTGTTCACTGCGGTTTGTAATGTTTTTGTGACGACAAATTTACAAATCTGAAAGCTGTTGGGACTGAACAGTGCTGACCTGTTTTTAAGTAAATCAGATTTCTTGTCTCTCACCAAGGGTCCAAAGATCTCAATAAACAATCACAAAAAAATCTTATTTTCATGTAAACCTGGACACAATCAGAAAGTCTGAGATGTTTCACATTCTGCTCTGTCATGAGCTCATCAGCCAACTAAAGCAAGTTTCCAGCAGATCACTGCTAATCTCACTAAGTCACAACGGTGTAATGGGAAACATTACAACTGTCTGAACATCTGTAAATTGTACTTCTGAGCAAGTAGGGGCTTTCTTCACATCCAATTATGGCTGGACTTTGTGGAAACTGAATCGGTCGTGTCCAAAACAGGATGGTGTCAACCAAAAGTGAGCATGAGAAGATCAAGACATCAAGTTTTGTTCACTGGAGACAGAGAAGCAGAATCACACTTACAGATTTTACTAAATAAGAACACGAACAAAAGTCCTGTCATGTTCTGTTTTTAGAAGTTTTTTGAAAAGTTGTCGACAGTAAAGTTCAAATTCTGCCCTGTTGGAGGTGACAGATGGGTTTTGTAAAATCTTGCAGCAATCTGCCTGTTAGTATTTGATATTTCCTGTGCACAGGTTGATGCTTGAAGAAACATAAGGAGTCATGAGATCACGCCTTGATTTGTCAGTTTGTTTCTCTGCCCTGCCCTCAGTTGTCCGCTACGCAGAACGGGTGTCACATTTTAACACCAGCAAGGTGCATGAGCTGGGAGAGCTTCACAGTCGGCCCAAGAGGGGTGGTCCAAATGGAGGCTCGTTCAGCCTGGCCGAGGAGGAAGCCCCTCTGAGCACCGGCCAGAACCGCACCAGAGGACTACAGCATGCAAGGCAGCCTCCACCATCCCGTCCCCGGCTTCCACAGAGTGGGGAGGAGGACGATGATGTCTGTACGCTCTATGGCCTTTTCCAGCTCTGCGGCCGCCTGGTCTGCAGCGATGGCTCGACTCCATCACACAACATCTGTAGGATGGACTGCAAAGGTGAGTTTTAGTTTTACAAAGCAGTCAGCTGCTGTTTTCTGGGCAGCTGAAGCTAAACACAACGTCTATATTCCAGTTTCACTGTCACAAATGTGTTATTTGCTCAGGTTTGACTACTGGTCAGGTGTTAGCTGTCGCCGGCTAACAACCTGCACACCAATGAAGCAGCCTGTGGAGCATCTTCCTCTTTAACTAGTCTTCTTGCTTTCTTTGCAGAAATGATTGATGGCGACATATCTGACGATGTGCGGTGCTTGCTGAAGATCTTCACCAATCTGGTGTAAGTTCTTACTTTATTCTTACTTAAGGCCGGCGGCGGGAACATTGCTGTTATACGGTTTGTGCAGTGGTGGAACCAAGCACTGTTCACATCTTCACTTCCTGGTTACTTCACAGAATTAAGAGTTTTGTTGACAATTATTTAGTTTATTCCACTTTGCTACAGAACAAAGAACCCAGCAGTGCCAGTGGAGCTGAAACATTTAGTTTAGTATTGATAGAAATTTTTAACAATCGTTCATGTATTTAGGATCATCTGAGTGCTTCCTCCACCGCTGGCTTTGTGGATTCTTCAGGGAAGAACACTGATAAATAATAATAATAATTAAAACAAACACTATGAGTGGAATGTATTTCTATTCATATTCTGAATTTTTCCACAGAGAAAGCGGTTTCAGTGCACCCAACTTTAAGGAGTCAGGACGAGTGTAAGTTACACCTTTATCACATTTGAATATGAAATCCTCAAGTAGCATGTTTCTGTTTTTGGTCATCTGCCTTGTAGATACAGTAAACTATGAATGAACTACGATTTATTTATGAGATCAGTACAGACACATGAACACCTCCAGTAACGTGGATCCCCTCTGTTTGTCTGGTTATTTGCAGCATCAGACTCATTTTGCAGGACGAGCACGGAGATGAGACAACCTCCGACTACTTCGCCGAATGCTCAGAATAACTGCCTTTGGAGTGATAATTCTTCTGTCACATGAGCTGGTGATTTATGACAATAACAGAATAAAACGCATTTTATCCATCGCTGATGTGACTGACTTTTGGTTTCCAGTCAGACAGCATACCAGTCATAATCTTATGAGTGTAGATAAATGCTTTGCTTGCGTGAGAGTACAAACAGCTTCCAGGTGAGCTGCATAAGAACACAGAATGACGTCGATGGTTGTTCCAGTAAAACACAGCCTGACACCTGCTGCACTGTGCAAAAATGGGGCGTCAAAACA